ACTGAGTGCAAATAACTTATTGCGTTCAAAATTGGATGCATTTGTGTTGTTAGTTCATAGCGAAAATAATTGCAAATTTTTAAAATAACAATGTGCTGTTCATATAGACGGTGTTCGTGCTCACCGCTGCGGCAAGCTTATTTGTTGGCTCCATCTACATCTTATGGGCGGACCATTCATACGATCAGCATGGAAATTTTAAGCGGTCTTTTGCTATCTTTTATCAATTGTTGACCAATAACCCAAACTAAATCCATCCATTTTTGAGCGCAGTAGTCCTACCCATTTGATCTCACAGTGCTCCTCAAAATATCGAGCATGGTTGCACTTGGCTACATCACACATTCCGCATCGTTTTCACATTACTTTGTCATATCAGCCTCAGCGGCTCCCGAAACACATGCACAACATGAAGGCAAGGGAGTAACATCAATCATGACATTCATCGAGATTACGATTTTCCCATCTTTTCGCTCTTTATTCCATTGCCTCTCAAGCAGATTCCTTCATGTATTGTGCACATGACAGATACGGATTTTGAACAGAGGTCTTACACTCACTAAGATTATGGCTCTCTTCTTCGCGTGAACGTTTTCGCTGTAGGAACTTCGGGCCCACTCATGATCAGTGACCAGAGGTTCCCGTAGCGAAAAATGGTTCACGTTCGAAAAGCGAAAAAGTTGCTCTCTGTCCTGGTGAACCCCACCCTGCACGTGCTGCTTCCTCGTCGTACACGCATAGTACAAGTCGCAACGCAAAAGTTTTTTCATCTACCCAATAGAACTTTGGAAGAAAGGCATCGAAGTAAATTTGATGTTCATAGGATTTACGCAATCTTTTTTTTTTGCAGAGTGAAGCAACTGGAAGCACTACTTTTACAAAGAAATGGGCAAGTTAAGAAGTTGGTGTCCGAGAATCTTCATCTATCGATTAAATGTCGGAAATTGATGGGCGCTTTGGGTGAAGAAGAAATAAGAGAAGTTTTGTGAGTTGGTGTTCAAGATTCTTGGACTTTCAAGAGCCTATCCTTGCATTTCAGGAGTTGAGGTTCGTTTGCAGAAACTTTTTCGGAGCATCATGATCTATCATCTGTTGCGGGATTCCATGATGTACAAACAGCTTTTCTCCTAGCACACTCGTTGGGAAGCGCTTTTACTTTGTTGAAAATTGTTTCTAGCCTGTGTTCGTGACATATTTGAAAAGCGCTGGGTTCGTGATTGTCGCTGTGGGGCTGGAATGAATTCTCGGGATCGATTCAGGGCAGCTGAATTATGTGATTTGCAAAAGAACTGCACGATTATGGACAGGGTTGTACTAATACACAGAACTTTCCTCCAATACCCCTCTCTTGCCACGTATCGATCTTCATCGAAAAACTCCCTGAAGCTCAGAATCATCCTTCCCATTTACATCCCTGATTGCAGAAAATGGATGGGTGGTCCGGTCTCAGGACTTCTGTCAACCGTGAGGCTTGGCGGTTCAGCGTTTTGTAGTGATGTCTGGGAGCTCTCACAAGTGCACACTATCACAGCATCTCCTCTTTCTTTATCTCCTTCAAAAGGCTTAGTCCCAATAAGACACAAAGTGTGTGCTTTTCCAGCTACGCTCTCACCCTTTGGTTGACAGAAGCCTTGTAACCGTGTGGTCCCAATGTGAAACCATTAAACACTGAGAGCAATTCTACGATTGGCAGGCCAACACCAATCATTTCCGGGAAGGATGCTAGAAAGCGCGTACAGAAGCCGCTGCAAGCGCTTTGCGTGTTGAGGTCGCCTGTACTTGTTGTTCGCCGATAAAAATCGAACGATTGAATCACAATGTGTATCGTTTGACGTTCTGTACAATTTGGGCTGCAGTTGGACACGATTTTGCGCTTGTTACACCGAGCTGCCTATGTTACCTGTGGCCGGTAATGAACGAATTGAAACGAGCTAGCAAGGTCTCCATTCGTCCCTGTCGCGTGCAAGAGTTGTCCAGTGGACCCTCCTCGCTCGAGGGACACGATGTCCTTCATTCCTTTCGTTCAGAGCTTTCGTGAAGAAGTCTGACCATCGGGCCGGCGGTCGTCCAGGTGTTCGTTTGACGTCCCGAGGGATCCAGTCGGTAACCGCTCTGGTCCAACGGTCATCGCAAAATCGCATGACGTGTCCGGCCCACCTTATCTTCGATTCCTTGGCGAAAACGGCAGCGTCCCTGATCTTCGATCGTTGGCGTAGTTCGGCACTCCGGATTCCCCTCTGCACTTGCGTGGGGTCTCCTCGTAATAACTTCGTATAGCATGGAGTTATCATTGAACAGGTGGGCACAAAGCCAAGAATGTTCGTCTTCTTCACTACTCCCTCGATGTTCTTAAACGCTCCCCATGCCGCTCGTTTCCTCCTGCTCAGCTCTGGAGCTAGATCGTTCATCATATTGATTTCCCGACCTAGGTACACGTAGCTGGAGCATTCGGTGATGTTCGTTCCGTTGAGCGTGAATGGGGCATCAGGAACCAATCCGTTTCTCATAAACATCGTCGTGGTCTCGTTCAATTGAAATTTTTCTTCCTGTTTTTTCAATATATGCCAAAAACAGCAGGCCTATATTGTCCAACATTTTCATACACATTTTAAGTAGTCGTGAAATGTGCCTTTAAATTCTACACCCTCGCCATTGAGCGCTCACTGTGTTCACCATTCGCTTGACTGTGCGCATGGCTTAGTGTTTCATTGTGTGAAACTGACTTATATTAGTAAATTATTTACTAGAATTTTTATTGCAACTGAGCAAGCTGGTTGTACACCTGTATTCCACTCTTGTTCTCTGATGTAACGTTTGCGTCCGATAGAGACATGACTTATTTTCCATATAAACAATACTAGTCAAACAGTTTCTCGCTAAAATAAATCATTCAAGAAATGTGAGGAAGATCAGGACTAGTATCACGAGCTATCACATAGCTAATAAGCAAATTGAACATAAACTCCTAAAAAGAACAATGACGGAAAGGAGCTATCTGCTACGCCTCTTCTCGGAGTTTTTCAGGTTCGCTTCTCTTTCGTAGCACATTCTTTAAGTAGTATTCACCCGCTTTGTATGATGATCGTACCAATGGACCAGACGCGACGTACAGGAATCCCATCTCACGGGCTATTCGTCCCCATTCATCAAATCTGAACGGAGGAAGATCAGTGAATGCAATAGAAAATAGAAAAAAAAACTTTGAAAAACACCAACTTTTGGGGAGTTACCCATTCCTTCACCAATAAATGTCCGCTTAGTTGGCTGCATGTATTGCCCGAACGTGACCACGTCCACATCATGGCTTCTTAGATCAGCTAAACACTGCCTTACCTAAAATTTGAGGCATGTTTGTTTGAATAAGAAACAAAACAAAACGCAAAAATAATACCTCATCATCCTGCTCACCAAGACCAAGCATTATTGATGTCTTCGTTATGAGCTTGGGATTAGTAGATTTTGCACGTTTCAGGGCTGAAAAAAGTGATTGTAAAAAATTGTAATAAAAATTGAGAAAATTGTATAACTGAAAAAGAAACGATTTTTCCGATCTGGATAGAGCTCTAAAGAGGGAAGGAAAGCAGATGGAGAACCAAGCTAAAGGATAGAACCTGCAGATTTTCTGCCCCGTGGGTCTCGAACCCAAGGAGTCAGTCGTTCAACGGTCTCCACATTATGAGCATAGACATCAAGGCCACTTCTGAAGTAAAACAACGCAATAATGGCACAACACAACAAGAAAAAATGAAGGGGAGGGCTGAGTAGATGCTGCAACCAAGGCAGTATCAGGGGCCGGTATTCAATCCTTCCCCCAGGGGGATATATCCCCCTCCTCTGATTCAATCCTCTGGGGGGACAAAAAAGGGTTGCGTCATAGGACCTAGCATACCTCTGTGTTTCTACCTGCCAGACAGTTAGAGCAGCGCGACCCCTCAGGGAAAAGAGTGCTTCATCAGTGGAGGGTAGTCGCGCTGCTCTAACTGTCTGGGCGCATGCATAGTCGGTCGTCCGACAGCAACGATCGTAACTGTCGCACAGCATTCGATGCGTATCGATCGTCAGACTTGCCTGAGTATTCGACGTTACATCACGTATCGTTACGGTCGGACGACCGACTATGCATGCGCCCTTTGGCAAATAGAAACACAGGTATGGCGGTCCTATGACACAACCCTTTTTGTCTCCGCCGAGGATTGAATCAGAGGGGGATGCATCCCCGTGAGGGAAGGACTGATTACGGCCCCAGGTTTTTTGGAAGAGAAACAAGCCTAAGGACTGTGAATTAAAGATCTGACAAATCACATTGGAGATATGTTAATCACTTACAAAGCCAACATGTCGATACTCTCTGTGCGACCAGCAAAATCGGGCAATAGGCATTCGATCAGCAGCTCTGGCCTTTCTTTCTTCATAAGTTGAACGGTTTTGCAGAGATGGCTAGCACCGCCATCTTCTACGTCGTCTCTGAAGCGATACTTAACATAATCTTCGGAACTTTTGATGGAAGGCTTAACACCTACCGATCAACGGAAGTGACAACGATGTAGTCGACGTCCCACGATTTTACAGCCAGCGCTGTGTTTTCCGGCTCCATCGGATCCAGTGGTGGTGGCTTCCGGGCTGTTTTTACCGAACAGAACCTATAATTGAGAGAGGTAAACTAAATAGTATTGAGGTCTCGTGCAAAAAAGTGCAAAAATGAAGTTTATGTGCTTCAATGTAGTTTTCTTGATTACCGCTCCTCCCTCCATCATAAAATATCAAAGCAAAGGAGTTGACTTAATTTCGTACGCAAAAGACTGAATAGAGAAAAGGCTGGGAAGTTTTGTGAGTATAATCACAACTGTTGGCCCAAGAGTGCAATGTGTGCAAGGCTAGATATTCAGCTATTCGGCGTTGATCCTTTCTAGGATGCACCACTTCTTTAGAACAATGGTGGCGCTTGAGTGCAATTTGCGCTATGCAATGGCATGGGAGTGGGAAGAAGGGAATGTGGAAGTCAGTTTTTTATTCTCCCAGACTGATCTTGTACCAATAATTGGATATCTCCTGCAGAGATGAGAAGCTTACTCCTTTCCGGCGATACTCCAGCCGGGATTTGACCCCTGGCCGTGAGCTCGAGCGACATCTACCGATCTCTATCTCCACATTTCCTCAAGACTAGTGGTGCCAACGTAGTCAATGATGTGAAGCATGTATGGATATAAGCTAATCCCAGACGCTATAAAATCATACCTGCAACCTCGGGTGCATGTGTCACCCATCAAAAGGATCGTTGCAGTTGATATAGAATCCTTAGAGCCTCCCCAGCACTCTCCCAAGTTCGGACACCTAGAAAGACTCGAGTAGTTTTTTGACAAAACGAAGCAAACCTCAACCAACCTCGCCTCTTCACAAACGGTGGCTAGCTTGAGACCCTTCAGTTGTTTCTTTAGCCGCGACACATTCTCGTTCTCACTCGGAAGAACCTTAAGAAAATGAAGGGTGGCGACAGATACATCAACGAATTTGACTCAAAATTTACCTTTTCTTTTTTTAACCAGTCAGGTAACCGTAATCGACGATCACCTTTCTCAAGCTTAAGTTTTCCCTGGTACTTGGCAACGGCTTCATCAACACTACCTGAATATGCCAACTTGAAATGAACCACTTTACCATTTCGCATAATTTTTTTACAATATAAGTTTACCTTTCTTAAGCCTTTAGTTTAGGGAACGTAACTGAGGGTGTGGCTCATTAGGACAGAAAGCGAATTTTTCGCGATTCGCTGAGCGAAAGATTTTTCGCTGCGGGAACCTCAGGTCCGTTTCTGATCATCAGTGGACCCGAGGTTCCCGCAGCGAAAAATCAGTGGACCCGAGATTCCCGCAGCGAAAATGTTTCGCGCTGCGAAATGCGAAAAAGTCGCTTTCTGGTCCAGTGATCCAGCAAAACCACGTAACGACGACCCAAGCGCTAAACAATGGCGCGCGCACGGTACAGTTATAGGCGAACTAGCGAAGTTAAATGGAAAAGAAATGGGTGCTAACTTAGTTGGGGGGGGGCACGCGGCGGCGCGGCAGTCTGCTCGCCTGGCATGTTCGGAAATCCGTGGGCCAGGGGGAGTGTAGCCAGTCTAGGGGGGGGGGGTGGGGGCAGTCACTTGACATGCGTGAAAAGCTGGAATGTTCGAGTTTACACTGTCTCGCTCGAGAGAGCCCAGGTGAGCAGACTGCCGCGCCGCCGCGTGCCCCCCCCCCCAACTAAGTTAGCACCGAAAACTAAAAGAACCCTTTGGGAATACAAAAAAAACCAACCTGACTAGCGTAAATCTGCGACGGACGGCCATCTTGAGCTTCGTTTTAGGTTCTGACGAAGATGCCGAATATGCACGAAGAGATTGGACTAGTGGCCGTGTTCGTTGAAGCATGTCCGAGAAAAAAAAATGAGGAAAACACAGCTCTCTTGACGTGAGCTTCCAGATTGATAAGACTGGTCTGCAATAGTACGGAAGCTTGTGGTGCAAAAATGCGTAAAATCGGTCGGTTTAAAAGACTGATTGCGCGGGAACGTTCAACCATTCACTTTTGCAGCTTTTGATTGTTCTTGTCCGGCTGTGATTTTTTATTTAATTTTTTTATTCAGGTCTCTTCCAGTCAGGGGGGGGCATCATGATGCAGTTTCTCGGCGAGCTAATGTAAACTCGAACATTCCAGCTTCTCACGCATGTCAAGTGACTGCCCTCACCCCCACCCCCCTAGGCTGGCTACACTCCCCCTGGCTCAGAGTTACCGTAGCTTTTTGGGAGTCACCGCACCATGATGCCCCCCTAACTGGAATAGACCCTATTTTAGTTATTGGTTGTCGTGAATGTGTCGTATTAATGGAATGTAGCACTTTGTTTAGCGCTGTACTTCATTCTTTTCGATTGGTTTATTTGGTTTAACCTTGATTTGGTTTAATTCGGTGGATTATTATACAGCAGCCCATTAGAGCCGCCACACAAGTCATGGAAATTTTTCAGGGGTCATCGGTTATTCCCCAGTTGCTCTTTAAGTTAACGAAGTTGCGCTAATTGATTTCAAGGCGTTTATTAGGACCTGCTCGATTTAATCTTCTGTATTAAAGGAGGATTCCGCAATAGGGACGATGGCCTGGAGAAAGGAGCAACCTACCTAGTGGAGAGACAGGCGGATCTCCTAGCGCTGCGGACCGACCTGCAACTTGCGTCTAACATGATGCCTTCGGCGATTATAGCATACATTACGCGGCGGCTATCGCGATATATCCTTTCACTCACAATGTAGGCCGATGTCAGACTTTGCGAATCGCGCGATTCGCTAGCGTCCGCGGTCGCGTTGCGGTACCAGCCAATTGAGTGATTCACTGGCCGCGACGCGACCGCAGACGCTAGCGAATCGCGCGATTCGCAAAGTCTGACATCGGCCTAGCCCCTACAAATTGAGCAGAGAGAGCGTTGGCGTTGAAGAGTGCAACAAAGATGGAATCGCATCAATGCGAAAGCCGAAAGCCACGGACAAGGAAGGGGGACATTTTTGGGTACAAGGGCGTTTTTGTTGTTTTTTCTTCTTTTTTGCATCACTGACCACCTCTAACATAATTTCCAATGAGCTGCCTTTTCATCGTGAAGTCCGTCTCTAGGATTTCCGTCAGAAATGGCTATTGTGCCGAATCAGACGGATATCTACGAGTGTGCACTGAATATACATCGATCGTGCGGTCGCATGACCATTACCGTTTTGTTTTCATTAGTATTGCAGCTTTTTTTGGTTGAGTTTCAATTTTTCTTTGAACAGGGTTTGTGGATGCGTTCCACATCTGTACACAAATTGCGTGCTCTGCTTTCTCAATGGACGTGCATCACACATATCCACTGTTACGGTGTTGGAGAAGCCGATATTCTTGACGACGTAAAAGAAGAGCTTGTTAAACTACAAAAGGCAGACAAAGTAAGTTGCGCCACGTGCATTTCGTATGATTTAGCACTTTTTTTTTTTCAACATAAAAACCAACGTTTCACTGTGAAGTAGTAGGTGAAACGCCCACTCAAAAAACAACCTAATCCCCGTACCTATCGCCTACACTGCCCACGGACGCTGATCGAAACTGATAAATCTTCAACAATATATGCTCTTGGAGCAAGAATATGCCAATTCGCCTGAAATCTATGGTCTGCAGCTTAGTCAGTCGTGAGACCATTAGCTGCCTGTGTGGAGGAAACAAAAGGAAGACGAGGCAAGAGCTTACGGGTGTATAAGGCCGATGTCAGACTTTGTGAATCGAACGATTCGGTAGCGTCCGTGGTCGCGTTGGCACCAGCCAATTGAGCGGGTTGGACCGACCGCGGACGCTAGCGAATCGCTCGATTCGCAAGGTCAAAGTTCGGGCTGAAGATGAAGAGGTTGCGATGGAACCTGGACGTAAGCGTTTTTCTGCATTCGATGTGAAACGAAGCGTGACAGGTAAGGCTCCCAAGTTTCAGTCGTTCGCCGTCCCTTGTTACCTCCTGTCTCCGCTGGTGCGGTCTTGTTCTCCGAAGACATCCAGATGCCCTTTCCACATCGACCAGTAACATCAGCTTCGTCGATACACCTTCAATAGGTCTTCCGTATTGCGATGGTTTATAACGTGAAGTTCGACATGAATTCTGCTGACCTGTCTGCAGCCGACCTGGAATCGAGATTGCTGGAAAACCCTGGTTGAAGAAGCGCATCTGGCGAACGTTGGACTCTCAAGCTAAGGCTGCTATTCAGGAGCCGGCATGCACGGGGAGGTGGATTTATATAAGGACTTTGCGGACAGCTTACTTTATTTCTCTTAAAACATTCCAAATCCTTTTCAGGTTGCTTTCTACGTGGTCGTGAATAGTTGTTTCTGGTGAACGGTTCTTTCAAATTGCTTGTCGACGAAATTTTACGAGAACTGAATCTGCAACATGACGGCAAGGTGAACACTATCAATGCGCTGGCGGTTTTCTTGGGAAAGCACCTTTTTTCCGCGTAGGGTTATACCTTCATTTTAGTCTGTTGTAGTCTCTAATTTTTTGTTCACACGATTATTTCAGAAAAAGACACGTCAAACTTACCATTGTTCTTGATCAAGCACATTGTCTTTCGTTATTTCCAGTGTCAACTGTGAAAAGCCTACTGTCTCTCCCAAAATCGGTATGCATTATTTGGGAATTTCAATGCAAATTACGCCACAAGTTGCTTTGTTTCTAGAGGTATCACTTTGCCCAGATTTACCTGATGCTCCACTGACTCGCTTCATACCCATAGTGAGTTACCCTGGATGATAAGGATTTAAAGTGGTGCCTCCACCCGTTCTATAGGTTTGAAAGTCGATCTAAGTTTCACCATCCATGTTTTCCTTTCTCCTTACGCACCTGTGTTGCGCTCTCGTAGTGAATCTTCACTTCCTAACCGCTAGCGGCGAATTGATGCCAGTCGATTACTTTATTCTCTGGAACCTATCTCAATTGATTTTTGAGTTTGTGGGGACAGCTCTCATCAAAATATGGCGTAAATAAGGTACCTATGTGGCTCATCTCCCGAGAGCTCATTATAAGCGATTCCGTATTAAGGAAATGTATGTTAATTTAGGTCAAGGTGGGAACTGTTCGGGAAAGTAGAGCAAGAGTAGAGAGTTCATCGTGTGAACTACGGATGAAAAATGGGGTGGTGGGTTCTATCCAAATGCGAAGTGATCATAGGTCTTTGCAGCAAAATGAGCAGGGCTGTGATTTAAATGTGAATCAAAGGTGAAGCAAGAATGATTTCGGCGCTCTAGGGCCGTAGTGACCCTAACTTTGACTTCAACGCGCATGTTCAAGCTAGAAATCCCCTTTGGGTGGCCTACCTCACCTCGCATACGCATCTTCAATATAGACAGAAGTTCATCAGTTTTTTTTTTTCTTAAACCCATTTTCGGACATTGCTTTCCCTTGTTTTATAGTTGTAAAGATCACCACGACATTTAGGACGAGATTAATGGTTCTAAGTTTCTTTTTGAATCTGCATTCATTTTCCTTATAGACTTATTTTACTTTATTGCAGAGGCAATGCACTTGATGCAATCGCTGCGCTGTAAGGATCACTATAGCAGGAAAGCTTGTCGAGTATTGTTAAAGCCGCGCTTTTTCTGCGATGTGCCGTGATGTCTTCAGAGAATTCTGCAAATAGTGAAGTTTCTATGCCGATATTTTCAATTATTCTCTTTCTCACCTTATTGTTCTAGATTCGCCTCGCATGCGAAAAATATTCTGAGAAATATGGCGACATAAGTGAAATAAAAAACTTGAAGTTGCTGCCCGTATTGGAAGCTCTCGTAAGTAATCATTTTGTATCAAAATCCCGCGTGTTTTGTAATTGTGTTGTTTTAGCTCGTTTGATCTAGTGCAACTGTTAGGCTTGGTGCCAGAGTCCGCGATCCGTCGCATCGCAAAAATCGCAAGTGCTCACTTTGAACATTTGACACTGAATATGAAACAAGTAGAATCATGAACAGTCATCACCATCAAGCAGAAATGGCGGCGGGATTGGAGAGCACCTTGCAGTATTGATCGGGCACTTGTGATTTCTGTGACCCGTCGCGCGAATCGCGCGAAACCTGCGACGGATCGCGGACTCTGACACCAGCCTTATGTCATGCGCTTTATTGCAAAGTTTTCAGGATGAGACCGATTGCTACTGGCAAGACGAGAATGAGCGTGAAGGGCTTCTAGATCTTCCTTTGAGCACTAGGTTAGGTCTAACATAACTGTTTTCTTCAAACGTTTCATTTCCCAATTTTCCCATAGCAGTGCTTGTGATATTGGTTTCTTGAAATATCTACCGTTACAGGTATCTTCTTGTGGCATCGTTTTGTGCCAGCCACAACCCATCGTCCACGGATAAACGATATTTTGCCAAGGTGGGAGCTTCACTCTGTCTAGGGCTAAGGATTCGTTTTATGTTTATCACAACAAAAGTTGCTTCAACTGATTTTTTGAAAGCTCTCATTTTTTCAAAAAAAAATTCGAAACTAACAATTCGATGATTTTTTAGTCCTACGCAGCCCCGTTAATAACTTCATCTACAAGTAGGACTGACATTTAGCTTACAAGACGACGTCGTCACTAAGAGGGATGATCTCTTTGACATTTCATTGGCTTCCTTTGGAACTTCAGCTTACACTGGCTCAGGAAACGTGAGCCAGTGTAAACGGAGGGATGATTCACCGCCGCATGAGCTAAGTAAATGAAGTCCATGATGAGTCAGCGAGGATCTATTGAACTTTGCTCCAGGAGCGTCTTGCAGTCGTTCCTGCTCATAATCGGTCCTCAATGTATGACACTCTTCTCAAGATTGTTCAACCTGTCCGTTTTGCTTCATAATTTATAATACTTCTTTATGAGCTACCCTTTCCCTT